AGCCGCTGGGAGGGATGAAGAGGTTCAGGCACATACACGGGGCACAAACTGTAAGCTAGGTTAAAAAAAAATGAAGTGGACTTGTTTTGAAGCGGGGCAGGGAGAATGTCTATGGAAGCTCATGGTGCTGTCGGGTCTTGGCAATTACCTTTTGGACCAGATGTGGGGAGACTGCAGGAGCAGCAAGATGACTGGAATGATTTGCCCGCAGGTATGCAGAAGGCCACCACAGAGCCAGCCCTTGGGTTTCTCACTTCCAGCCCTCCACCTTGAGAAAACACAAGCAAAAGCCTCTCTTTTGCTACGGTTTTGAGACTTACGCATCAGCTGGATGACTCCTCTGATAAAATATTTAGACATCTGCTCAGACAGATCACAACCTCACTGTCTAACGAAAATCTCTCCCGGGCAAAGACCCCATCGCCGCCGCGATGAGTGATTCCCTCGTGCCTGGGGTTTGTGGTGGCCTCAGACTCTCCGTGATGGCTGTGCTGGGATCCACGCTGCACGCACCACTGGTGATGAATAATTACTTGACCAGTTACCAAATCCTTCAGGCTGACTCCTATTGCTTGTACACCCTCCCCAGATATACTGGAGCAGAGGATTTCACAGGATGACCACCCGACCTTGCTTCCACTTGATCCCCTGCAAGATGGGTCACCTGCTGCAGCAGAAAGGGGACATGAACCCTACATGCTCCTCAGGGATTCCTGTCAGGTCCTGGTGTCTTCTAATTGCAATTCACTACCGTGTATAACTGTAGAGGCTGATAAGTAATGAGGGAAGATGTCAGACAGGAATGCCCTTGAAATAAGCTATTCTAACGATATCATGTCGGGATCAGGAGGATCACATTATCTTCAAGTTTGTGTGAATGAGCTGGGGCTATTTGGCAGTTCTGTAACTCATTCAGCTTTTTTTCCTCCTGAGTAAAACACCAAACTCATTCATTACAGTTGGCTTCAGGGCTCTTGGGAGCCACCCTGAAAGCGCTCAATCTTCAGCATGGACAGCTAATCTGGACAAATAATTTCAAACAGTTTAACAAACAGTTTGACCCCCTAGGTAAAATAACCAAAGGTTAAAGGGACATCTTGGTGTGTATCTGGAGAGAATATAAATTGAGCTGTTTATTCCTTCTCTCCGGAGCCTGTGAAAGGTTCAAATTCAGTTTATAAGCTTATCACCAAAATTCATTTTATAGAGTACCTTAAACATAAACTCCCACTCAGTCCGATCAAAGCTTTTCCAGCATGAAGCAGCTGAGCTACAATCAGTTCCCTTGTTCAGTCAGCCAAGTCAATGTTCTTAATCAGTATAAAAACATTAGAAGTCAAATGGTGGTTTTTAATAAAATGGGTTTGATCAGCTTCCAAGGAAGTGGCAGAGGTCTAGGGAGAGAAACATTCCTGGCTGCTCCTAGAAAATGCATGTGAGCCCTGTAAAGCACCAGGCTCCGAGAGGACCCTGTGGGTCACTAATGACTGACATCATTATCCTGGGATGAAGGTGCACCCCCTCGCCCTTCACTCTAATCCACCTCCAGCCTGAACTCTTTGAGTCCCTACTCCTGAAAACTCATTTATCTCAGCTCCTTCCACTGGATAATGATCAAACCCCTGGGCTTTGCCAGAGATCAAAGTATGATTGCTCCAGTTGTCTCAAAATCTATTGCTTCTTTAGATGCTGTTGTTGTTTATTCAGACAAAGTGACTTTATGCTGCAAGGAGAGTCCACAGCAGCTGTGGATGAGAGACAGGACGATGTTTAGGAAGTGATATCCATCTGTCTTTTTGGGCACTCACTCAGTTGCTTAAGAGAGAGTGGATGCACGCCCAAGAGCAATGCACAGACCTGGCTGTCCTCAACAGCTGCTTGTTGGTAGCACTCCTACAGCTCTTTTCCGAGCACAGACCCATAGATAACAACCTCTACTCAGTGGCCATGCCGCATACACCCAGACGTGCCCCACAGATCAGTACAGCTGGCTGAAAGCTGATGTCCTCTTCTGAACTTGAACATACAGTCGATACTTCCAGTGGGAGAGAAAGAGCTCCCTGAAGCCCACACCCCTATAAAGCACAAGCGGGGAGAAGAGTCTGGTGCAGGTCATTGATCACCCTGAGCACACCAGGAAATTAGCTGTATTGCCCAAGACTTCAGTGTGATTTGTGCTTGTCACAGAGCTGGACCTCCCCACATCATAAAATGGAAGAATCAGGACAACACTCTCTTGATGGGCTCCCAACTTTCCTCATTTTTCTGTGCTACAAATTATCTTATTCCAAGTCTTCAAGCACCAACTGCCAGAAACCATTTTATCACTCAAAGAATAGCTCGGGTATGTGCCTCTACATGGCTGAAATAGAGATGATCAAGAAACATTCATGGCACAGAGAGAAAGAAACAATGGGGAAAATAAGGTTGTTGGGAAATAAAATTGTTCTTTTGGATTAGCTCTGGACTGAAAATATTTAGGGCCAGAAAGTTAATGTGAATTAAATTCTGATCCATGCAATTAAGTTACAGTAAGAAGGCAGCAGGGCCATTTTAGGTTCATGTGCTGGGAAAAAGAACTAAATAATGAAGACGCGCTTCTGCATTCATGACATTCTCTCCTCCCTCTAAAAGGCTGTTATGAGAAGTGGGCAATAAGATCAATGTAACTGAGATTGTCTGAGGAAGATTGGTTACTGACAACACTTATTCACACATGCAAGTCATCAACAAACATTTCAACTAGGAAAACTAACCAAATTTGGCAGGAATTTTGAGCCCTTGGAAGTACGCTTGAAATGAAGCGTCACTTGCAGTCGTCAGCTTTGCTGGACACATCACTATCCCAATGAGTTTAACCACTGAAACCATAATCTCTCTTCAGGATAATTTGGGCAGATTCTTCTCTCCCCAAGTAGCCATTAGGAGGCAGAAGGGATGTGTCCACACACCGGTGGGTGCAGGGAGCTGACTGATAGGAAGAAAACCAACCAAGAGGTTGGAGTGGGGAAGAAGGAGGCATTTAACAGGAATTCATTTCCATTTATTTATATTTTGATGGCTTATGCATCTGCAAACTTCAAATAAAAGACAGGAAAAGTACCTGACCCATCCTGGTTTGTTATACTTGACTCCCACAAAGCCTGGACAACTGAGCCCTACTCCATTCACAAAATCAGAGCAGGAAGAAGAAAGCAGCTGAAGTTGTCACAGATTCCACAGTTTTGAAAACAGGAGCAGTTCCTTGGGTTCCTAACGATGGGACTTGTGATGAAATTTTTACACCCACTTGTTAAAATCTTTATCTGATGCCCTAGCAATATCCCGTGAGTAAACCCTAGCTTCAGGAACTACACAGATGCATTTTCATCCTGATGTCACTATCACTTTCATAAATAGAGCACAGTCCTGTGGTTTTTTTCCAAATCTCCAGGAGACCGGATGGAGTTGAGGAGATGCCCATGGAAGCACACAAATCTCAAGAACCTCTCCCCAGGCTGCTGGTTACCTGCTGACAATCCATCCTCTCCCCAACCACGCCACACAATGTCTGTAAATCTACAGAAGTCTACACATCATGTTTAAGTGCTGCAGCCACTGCTTTCTTATACAAAGTATTACAGAATCTTCTAGGTTGGAAGGGACCTTAAAGATCATCTTGTCCAACCCTATTCAATCCAAAGGAAAAGGTAAGTGAATTACTAAAGAAACTGAAATGAAGCACTGTTATCTCTCATTTTTGCCTTCTTAAGTGCCCATCAAGCTTATCAGCTTTGCCTTGTTAAGTACCATCAAGCTTATCATCCTCCTCGTGCATCCTCCTCTCTTATCACCACAAGGTGACAGGCAACTCAGATTTTCCCTCTGGAAGCCTGATCACCTTGCCCATATCACTGATGTCACAGCCCTGACCAGGTGTGACCATCCACCTTGGCACCCACCCAGCCCATTTCCACCTTGGTGCTTCTGCCCAGCTTCTTCCTGTTGACTGTGTTTGTGCTCAATTATAACTGCCAAGCTACTCAGTCACTGACAGATACAGGACAGGAGTTGAGTCAGGAGATTTCAAGGAACAGTACATCTTTCTTGAGCTGCTGAATTGTCTCTCTCTGAAATGTTTGTGAGTTAGGGATGTAAAGAAGCCATTTGTTATGGCATTCACCGAGCAAGATGCATCCTGATGCTGGGTAACGAGATCTCCTCATTCAAATTCCTAAAAATGAAAAATAAATGCCTTGTTCTTCCAGTTCTTTGTAATGTAATCTGTTATGTATCTGTGCAGGGAAAATATCGTTCACCTGCGTTTTTCACCTGTAGCATACAGAAAATTATTATACAGAGTAGTTGTTGCATTGGCATTGAAGGAGGCAGCTGACAACCTGGTTCAGTTGTTGTAAAGCCTGCCAACAAGACTTCGAGATGATAATTTCTGATGCACTGTTAACTCTTAGTCACGATATTTATTGCAATCTGTGTGAGATAATGACAGGTTTGATCCTGCACCTTTGAGAACAGTACAGGGTTTGTCATATATTTCAGGAGAAACAGGATGGGGGGTGTATCATTCTTTCCTCATTTTTGTTTCAGCTAAGTGAGATGAAACATGTAAGACGTTAACTGGAACAGTTCAGCATAAAGCCTTCATCCCTCCCATCTTCTGCTGGTCACTAGTTGTTGATGTTGTTAATTGGTGACCTAGATATCAATAGGATGGTGAGAAATGTCCATGATGAGTGATTTTATCTTTGTTTTACTACAGCATTTCTTGCATCTCTTCTCCAGTGTTCACTATTGTCTGAAGGCAGGATACCAGATTTAATCAGTTTGGCCTAGCACAGCAACCTCTGGTTTCCTACAAAGAAGAAGGGTGCATTCTTCTTCTTCTGCCTACCAGACTGGATATGGTGTCTGCATGAATACTCACCAGACTGCTCCCTCCTTGCAGCCTCCATAAAAAGCAAGTCCATGCTTCCCATGCTTGCAGCGAGGTGCCACGGTCTGTCTTCTGCTCCCCTCACCCCAGGCTTCCTCCAGAGCCCACCAGGCAGTCTTCTGCTGGCAAAAGAGAGTGGATCCAGGAAGGCAGAGTGGTGGAAAGGCAAAAAGAGGACAAGGAGGCGTAGGGGCTGTCTCACCCACCACAGGCACGGCTGCAGGATTTTTGTGTGGTGTCCCTCCCATCCTGCATGAAGAATGAGTTGCCTGATGCATCACAGCCAAAGAAACTTTGGGTGTCTGTGTTTAAAAGCGAAGAAAGAGCAACAGTGCCACTTCTGAGAGGAATCTGAACCCAGCAGCATTCATGCAAGCCCCAATAATTATGCAAGGAGTACAGGTCAAAAGACCCTCGATAAAAAAAAAAAGAAAAAGGAGGCATGGTCTCCAGATATAAGGCTGAGATCCTCGGAAGAGGATCAGGTTGTGTTTATGTAGCTCTCTAAGTAGTGTGAAACGTGATTCAGATGTTTTTATGAAGCAGATCCTTATAACTACAAACTGGATAAAGCTGCCAGATTTCTGTGCGGTTCCGTTGTGCGTTAGGGAATTGTCACACCCCTGGTGCTGTGCTGGAGAGGAAGAAGGTGACTTCCCTCCCAGGGGAAGCCTCGTTCGTCATGCGACAGCACCCATATTTTCCCAACTGAAGGCCGCATCAGCCACTTTGCCAGGGATGGGAGAGCCACACCTCATCTGTGGAAAATAGAGGAGATTGCAACAAACATCTCTTAAAAAAAACCGTGCAGCTCATAATGGCTGCAGGCCACAGCAGGCCATTTTCTATCCTTCAATTAGTGATCTTCCAAATGACTCACCGGTGAGCATTTCATCAAGGGACCTGCAATCTGCAAGGGCCATATCTAAGTATTCATTGACAGGACTGGTAGCACCACTTTTTTGAAGATTGCCCAACTTCTCTTTATAATGTCCCATTTTCAGTTTGCTTACAGCTCTGCCAACCCTTTATCAGTTCCAGTTCACATGTTTCAAGCTTAGTGCCTGCCTACAGCTCACTGCCTGTTTGTTGGGTTTGAGGGCTTGGTTTGGTTGAGTTTGGGGCAGATATCTTACTTTTTGTTAGCCAGTTCAGGTGTTTCCATTAGAGATTTGTCACAAAAGAAAAAAGAAAACAGTGGAGAAAAAAAAAAAAAAGAAAAAGAAAGGAAAGAAAAGAGGTAGCTTTCTTCCTAAAATGACTCCCTTGGCAGAAAACTGAAATTTGTCAGGCTGATGGTCCTCAGGTCATGAATCTGCCATGAAAGTCCATGCCAAATGGACTCCTGCTGGTAATCAGATTGCAAACAAGCAACTTGTCATGTTTCAGCCCACACAGTAGGTGAAGCTGCTCCTTCCTTACAGCTCCCAGACGCACTGACAGTGTGGAAGCACCGTCACCTGCCTACAACTCAGGAAACAGGCTGCCTAAAAAGAGTCTGATGAGAGAAGGCTGAGGAAACTGAGCTGAGCTCTGGAGCAGAAGAGAAGGGCTCAATCGCTCGGGGTTTCATGCAGAGACAGAGCAGGCTGAGGATCAACAGGACCGGTCAGTCTCAGCCCCTCTAAATTGATCCCTGTAGCCACATGGCACCTACTGCCCATTTGTGCAGCGCTATGACAACATCATCATGAACAGGGTTTGACCATCTCAGGAAGGGAGCACTAAACTGAACAGGATGCAGGTGTCACATGTGGAGAATCAAACTTCCAGGCCAAGAACCTACCATCGAGGTGCAGTTCGTGGTCACTGAGTGATCCACTCATTCCCTGTGAGGGTGAAATCCACCTGGAGCAAAACCAAGAGAACGACCTGTGAGCCTGTTGTTGCTTATCCACCTCTGTCATCAGTTTTCTCTTAGTCCAGAGAAATTACTCCAGACAATTTGGACAAAATACTTTAGGAAAGGCTCTAACTAAATTTTTGGAGGTTAATACATTCCTTATGTTTCAGGTAGATACATGAGAATGATTGGCATGTGCCTGTTTCTCTGACTTGGGAGACTGTTAAGCCAGAAAGCCACCATCAATCAATCAATTAGCATTGATTATTTAGAGGAGAGATGAAGGTCAGTAAAGATACTGTAATCCTGTTTTCTGAACAATGAATCTGAGCATGTGTAAGCTTCAAGCCGTTCCTGAGCCATGGGCCCTGCAATATGAAGCATCTGGAGCCGGGTCAGAGACTATGTGTGGTGGGAACAGCATCCTAGGGGAAGAGGAACTGTATCTTGGAGGAGGAAGAAAGACCTTCTGCAGTGAGAGCAGGCACCTATGTGAGGATAACAGTAACAGAAGAGCACGGATGATAGAAGAGATGAAAGAAGTTAGAGGCCTAAAGCTGGAAAAGGGGAGGGAGTAAAGCAAGGGAGAGATACTTGGAAGCGGTGGACTTTGTGTGGAGGAACCAGTCACAGCTTGTCCACCTTCCACTTTCCCCCTTTAAGAACCAAAACAGGACTAGAGAAACTAGGTCTAGCTCTTCCCTACCTCCCGGGCCAGTCCCACCTGTGTCATGGCATATCAGAGGGCCCTTGCCACAGCCAGGTTGCAATGGGGAAAAAACAGATACCAGTTCCCAAGTCCCCTGATGGGGTCCAGGCTGGTTCCCACAGCTGCATAAAGGTGTGATAGGATGTAGCCTGGACAGGTATTTGCAGCACCAGAGGGCACCAGACAGCAAGGAGCAGGTGTTAACTGGGTGCTTGGGGCTATAGAGCTAAGGGGAGCTAAGGAACAGGGGGCTGAGCTGGAAAAGTAGACAGGAAGGGCTGTATGGCATGAGGGTCGGGATGGTTATGTCAAGAAACATATCTATTTTCTTCACTTGCTCTTTGCAAGTGAAATCTCAAGATACACGCCTTCTGGGATTCCTCTCTTTGCCCTGTCAAATGAAGAAAATGAGGCTACAATGTAAATTTAACCTACCTTCTCTACTGCTTCTACCTCCTCTGAACTGGGCTTGCCCATACCACACATACCCCAAGCGTGACTTTGCAGAAAGTGCAAAACACTTTGAAGAAAAGGGAACCACCACCAGAACTACTTCACTTCTCAAGTGTGGTGAAACCCGTGCTGTTGGTCTGTATGGTCAGCGCTCATTTACAGCCCTAGAAGCCACGAGACAGCGAGTAAAACTTTCAGCCCTCGAGCTGTCTCTTGCAGCCCCCTCAGCCTAATGCCAAAGATATCATTTGTACTCTCTGGGTGTCTGTCACTGAAGCCGTTGGTCTCAGTTGTATTCCTGCCCTCTGCCAACAATCCCGGTGGCAAGACAGCCCAGAGGCACTCCCCGTGACACAAATCTCTGCTCTGATATGATCATTTGAACACTGCAAAAATCAGGCTCCCTTTTTCCCTCTGTGTCCTTGTGCTCTGAAATTAGATTTCCTTAGATGTAGGGCAATTAATATGAGTCCTCTCCTCAAAAAAAAAGGCACATCAGTCAGGCTACAGACCTAACTCTTCAGCTGCAGAACAGAGAGAAGTATTACATCTTTCCTACACAGCCTGTTCAAAACCTAGTCTCGGGGCTCTAATGGATTGTTGAAGAGAAGCAGCTGTGGCCAAAGCAGACTCCCAGCCTGGGAAACACTTGGGGGAAGAGAAAATACCCTACCTGGCATGATGATTTATGGATGTGTTCAGAGCAAGCCTCTCAACTGTTCCCCAGTTACACAGCCATCTTCCTCTTTCTCCCCTACAAACTAGATCCTCATAATTCCCTATTTAGCTTCTTTCCCACTAAACTTTTTAGTCAGGTTGCTTCACTTTTAACCTCGGGTTTTGTTACAGTGACTGCTCAGAGCAACAGAGGCTTCCTTTGCAGAGGTCATCGCAGGGGCTTTCAGCTCCATTAGCTGCTTTAGCTCTGACAGCCCCTCATTTAAACTCACTTTTCTTACTGCTCTGCTTGAGTTTCACAGCAAGCTGGGCCACCAAGAGTGAAAGGATGAGTTCTACCAATCACACTGGAGATTAGAAACACCTCGTTTTGCAATGAAGACTTAAGAAAAATATGAGGCTGAGGCTGAATAGGAATAAGGATTCTGAAAACCTTGATGTGTCATCTTAATCATCTTTCTATTCATGAACGTACTTGAGACCTCTTACAAGGTTATGATAAGGAGTCGCTCACCAGTGTTACAAGAAGACAAAGCATTCTGGTTTTTTTCCGAGCAGCAAGTTACAACACGCAAGCGAACGCTGTGTGCGGAACGCTCTTCAACTCCATGTTCCCATCCAGAACTGTATTTACCCTTGATAAATGATGAACTATGTCCTACAGCTGTGCTACATATTTCAGACTAACAAGGGCAGGAGTAAGGTCATACTGATTCTAGAGCCCTGTCTATCGAGACAAAGGCACTCACGCTGTGTCACATGCTCTGTATTTCACACAGCCTGGCCTTAGACTATTTCCCAAATCCCTTGTTTTCCTGGGGACATGGCAACAGTTTATGTACACTGCTCTGAAGTTAAAGGCCTGGCCACCTTATGTGCATTTCCCTTCCTCTACCAAACATTATCTTGTTCCTTTAAACCCTGCTTAACCTTACTTTGGTTCCTGTTTCTCTGCAAGGCCCAAACACCACCAAGAGAAGTGAAAGCAGCTATGTCTGTTTCTTTCCACTCCTCTGAGCAGTGCCCGAAAGTGAGTGAGGGCCTGAGACAGGTCCAAGAGGCTGAGTGAAGTTCCAGTTGCAATTCAAAACAAAAGGCAGCCTTGAAGTAACCTCTGGCGGAAAATTTCTAGCCCTCCTCTAGAAACGAGAGTTTGCTCAGGAGCCAGCAACGCATGGTCAGGCTGCACAGGTGCCAAACACTAAGGTTGAGATTAATTTCACTGAACATTAGCTGTCTAAAAAATACAGATGGTCCTCTAGGCCTCCTCAGCACACAATGCAGCCAGACAGAAAAAGAAGGGTTCATCACATCCACTTCATACCTATTTTGGGCTGGAACAAATAGTTCCTGGAAGGTACCTCTTTGTCTCCAGAGGGAGGAAAGACTGGTGTGGGCTACATGCTGAGCTATCAGATGGCTGGAGTTAGTTGAGAAGCATCAAAACCATCTTGATCAACTATGTTTATCTGGGTCTTTTGCCAGTCTGTGCCTTTGTATCTAGGCTCTCCCAAAGCTGTTACTTCCAAGGCATCTCCAGAGGGCTGTTAGGTGCCTCCAGTGACCCCATGACCATGTTGCTTTCTGGCTGGTTTTGTTCTCAGGAAGTTACTTCCCTTCAAGTAGGAACACGACCTTAGAAGTCCAAAGTTGATGGGCTATATGGAGGAAAAAAAGGGGAGGTTACATCTCCCCCAGTCTTAATGGTGTCTGAAAAATGCCCAAAAGCTGCCCTTAAATGAGTAGCTCTGTGAGCAGCGTAACTGGTGACTCCTGATTTCCTATGGCTTTTTGTTTACAGTTAAATTCTCCGATGCTTAGTAACATAAAAATGCCAATTACAGCTTCTACTGCACTTGGAGAGGTCATAATGATCCACTCCCACGTATAGTGCCTGTTGTCCACCATGAGTTCTGTCTGGGCCTTTCCGCCGGTGAAGGCACATACAGGATATGTCTCTTCTAGAGAACCAATTACTTTCCTGATTGGAATTGGCCTACGAGTTCAAAGACCTGGGTGGGATGGCAGAAATACACAGCAAAACCAGCAAGCCTCTTAAAAACACAAAAAGAATCCATTTATGCTGTAAAGAAATAAACTCAGAATGGAAATACTTTTTCCTCTGCACAACTTTCACTGAAAATTTTTCTTTTCCACTGCCTTTTTTCCCCTGTTACATCACACCTTTGAAGGCAGAGGCCTGGCAGATGGTAAGAAGAGAGCAGCTGGTTTTATTATTTAGATATAGAGCACCTTAAAGTATGCTAGTAACTGCTGAGTTGGGTGGAGAAGGCTTCCTCATGGAAAATTTTGTCTCCCTTTCCAAAAAAAAAAAAAAAAAAAAAAACTGGAAAAG